TAGAGATATAAATGGAAAAATATAAGCGCACAGATATAAGGAAAATAAAAGCCAAGAGTCATAAAGTGAAGAAAAAAGAACACACAGTAATTTTTACTGGTTCGGATATAGTCAACCCTACATCCAGTTCCCAGTCACCTCTAACATAAGAATGACCCCAATTCACTATCTTTAAAATTTAGTTTACAAATTACAATCAACTCAGCAGAGGAACCAGTAAAAAGTAAACTAATTAAAAAGATAATTACCTCCTTAGAAACCCACTAAGGATGGACACCTCCCTAGAATCCCACTAGGGATGAACACCTCCTCTGAACAAATCAAAGGATGAAAAGCATCTCCTTTGTCACCAACACACAAAGGATGAACACATCTCTAGAATCACACTAGGAATGAATACCTCCCCGAACAAATCAAAGGGATGAAAACACCTCCTTAGAATCTCACTAAGGATGAATACCTCCCTGAACAAATCAAATGAATGAAAACACATGCTTAAAATTCTACTAAGGATGAATACCTCCTTGAACAAATCAAAGGATGACAGTAGAAATTCCAAACACAGAAACACACTGTTCAAGAACAATGCAACCACCTAAACCCTAAAAAGGGGATTTAATAACAATCACTTAAACCCTAAATAAAGAATTTAACATCAACTTGCTAAGCCCTTAAAAGGGGATTAAGACAATAAAATAACAGCAACCACCTAAACCCACAAAGGATGAAGGCAATAAAATAAGAACAGTCACACCTAGTAATGGAGATAACAAATTATAGAAGTCTGTAAAATACCAACCTCCAAGAATAAGTGTAATTGACAATGAAAGCGCAGAAGACAATATGAAAAAGTTTTCTCAGAAAACCTAAAAGTGCTCTGTTGTCTTGTTTATAATTCTTTTCTCAAACCTGATTGAATATAAATTGAATTTTTGAATTTTATAATTGTGTATTTTGATTTTTCATCAAAATTTATTTAAATAAGAAAATAGCATTAGAAAATAGTTGTTGGTCATTAATAATTTCGTAGAAAAAAATTAGGATGTACCCAAAAACATTAATTCTTCAAAAACAGATATATTTTTCAAATTTAAACGACCATAATCGATTATGTTACTAGTATAATCAATTATGACAAAGAGAAAATCGTTTTTCCATTTTTGATACATCATAATCGATTATGACAGTAAAAAATGTCATATTAAGTTTATTTGTTGATATAATCGATTACGACTCTCACATAATCGATTATGACAGTGAAAAATGTCATATTACAAAATTTTATCACAATTGTGTTTTGGAGGCTTATGCATAATACTACTCATCAACTTGTACCTCCATATCCAGTATTCTAAGACTCTATCTATCTTCAGGAATCATCTTGGGCTTACTTGATGTTTTAATTAAATCTTTATCAAAATCATATCTTGAGCTTGTTTGGGTCTTGAATGTTGTTAACTTGAATCATCATCAAAATCATCTCTTGGAAATGTAGGGACATGTTTCACATTGTCATCAATCTCCCCATCATTGCTTTCATTTGTTACTTCACAAGTACTAAACTCGATTTATTGCTGAGTATTGGGATTGTCAATCGGTTAATGCAGAGTCGAAGCTACTCTCATTGGAAGTCGTTGAAGCGAATTTTGAGGTATATCCGAAGTACACTATAACTCGGGCTGCTATACACGAGGTCGGACGATTATCGACTTGTCGGGTAGTCGGACAGTGACTGGTATGGAGATGTGGATGATCGGAAAAGTACTTCAGGGTATGTTTTCTTTATGGGTAACACGACGTTTACTTGGCTCTCGAAGAAGCAACCCTAGTAACATTGTCAACCTGTAAAGTCGAGTGTGTAACGACATCGTGAAGTGTGTTTCATGTAGTATGGCTCAAAAATTTGCTAAGTTCGGTGGAGGAGAAACAACTTGGTGAAACCATAGTCCGAGTTGATAACAAGTCGACTATTAAAATGACAAAGAATTTGATTAATTATGAGAGAAGTAAACACATTGATGTGCCTTTTCACTTCATCCGAGAACACGTGGAAGAAAGAAATGTAGAGCTTGTATATGTGACTAGTTGTGATCATGTTGCTGATATTTTCACAAAGTTACTACCTATTGTATTATTGGAGAACTACAAGAAACTGTTTGGGATGAAGGATGGTAGAAGCTTAGGTACTTGGAAAGATGGTAAGTTATATCACGCTCAAAGAAATATTGAAGACAATGAGTTAAAATATCGATATCAAACTAAACTTACTTTTATTGGAAAAATTTAATTTTATGAGAAAGTTTGATTAAATTTTGTTGAATAAAATTAAATATTCAATTTTAAGATTTTGTTGAAATAAAATAATAATAATAAAAAGATAATTAAGAATTAATTAAAATATTTTAATATTAATAATATTTAAAATAATTTTTATTTGATTTTAAAAATATCTTAAACCCATATATTTGAGTACGAAGAATAATAATATACACCTTTATAATTTCTATCTTGATATCAAATTATTCTATCAATAAGATGTGATTAATGTGATTTGAAAGAACATCTGCATCATAAACGTGATTCGTGGAGAAAATACTTATTCGTAATAAACCCAGTGGACAAAACATTTGAAGTTCTCTTCCTCCGATTTCATCTTTCAAAGCAAAACATAATACTTTGTATATCCTTCTAATTTGGACAAGTTTAGATCTTATACCATGTAGATTTTATAATAGATTGGATAATACCTTTCAAATTTTTATTTTTATTTGTTGAGGTACTAAAAGAATAAGTTAGATCACCTTGAAAAACTAACTTAAGATCACATCAAGATCTACTATTACAATTGAAAATAAGTTAAAATCACAATAAGAAACCACTTTATATATGGGAATCAATTAAAATCACATTTGGAGTTTTAGTTAAAATTATAATGTGAAATCAATTAAGATCACATACTAACATAATAACTATATATATATATATATATATATATATATATATATATATATATATATATATATATATATATATATATATATATATTAATTGATGATGTGATGAAAATGTTAAGCATAATTATGTTGTGTGCTAATTTCTCTTCCGAAAAGTTATGATCAATAGTATCCTTTGTTTATATATCATTTTTTGTTAACATTATAAAAATCAAATTACCTTTTCATTAGGTCGGTTAAATCGAGTATGAAAATTCTTATATATTAATAATAAAAAAGAATTTTAAAAATCCACCCAATTATATGCACTTACTAATATTTGTAAATTAAAAATCTAATGTATACATCTAACTGTAAAATTTTATTTACATATTATTGGATAAAGTAAAAGAAAGAAAGAAAAAATAAAATAAAAAATAAAAATATAAGATAAAGAATAAAAATGAAAAAATATACATTTTTTCAATTTAAATAACTACTAATTAACTTTATATATCAAAAATTATATATATGTATACTTTTTATATTTTAAAATAAATAATAATAATAATAATAATAAATAATAGCAATGAGTAATAATTTTAAAAAAATACACATATAAGTAATTAAAAGAATATAAAATTAAAATAGAAATTATAAATAAAAAAATAAAACTTAAAAATATAATAGAAGCCATAGTTTATTGTGATAAATATAATATTTTATAGACTACTAAGTTACGAAAATTCAATAATCTATTTAAATTATTTAGTATAAAAATCTGACTCAAAATTTTACTTAATGATATCGGATTAAAATTCATAACACAAATTAAATTTAAAAATTAAGAAAGATGCTAAAATGTTAAAGTCATCTTCCGAGAGAAAAAAAAGTTATTAGTATTATTAATTTTATAAGATAATAAAATAGATAAATAAAAATAATGAGTATGTTAAAATAATGGCTTACATATTATATATAACTTTTTTTCTTTCTTCGTGTTTTTTTTTATTATTTTTTTTATCATTTACTCCTTATTTTTCTTTTATATCTCATGTCTCTTATTTTAACTTTTTTGTTTATTCTTTTAATTAGAACTATTATATTAAAATTTAATACAATTGTATTAATATAATTTTTTTAAATTCAATATTAAAATTAAAAAATAACAATTAATTATTTAAAATTATAATGATAATTATGATCTAAATACTTTTATGTACAATGATGTAAATAATTAATTTTAATTATTTTATTATAATAAATTAATTACTTATTTAATTAAAAATTATTTAATATTTATAATTAAATTTATTTTTATTTAATAATTTAAGTTAATTATAATTAGATAAATTATGATTAGTCATATTAAATAATTTGAAATATATTTGTTAAAAAATTATTTTAAAATAAATATTTTTTTATAATATAATTATTTATAACACCTTGAATTTATAATATAATATATTTTTAAAATATAGTATATTACATTTTATATTTTTAAATAATTTTAATATTTTTTAAATAATAAAAAATTCATTTTATCAAATTTTAATTTAGTATTTTTAATTAAAAGATTAAGATGAATGAAAAAAAAGAGAAAGAGGAACACAAATAAAAAAGAATAATAAAAATAAATAAAGAGAAAAAAAATAAAAAATAATTATATTATCTCAGAAAAATTTATTTTTTTATTAAATTTTAAACAGTCTAATTAGATAAATAATCTTATAAAACTTCTATTTAAATATTTTTTTAAATATATTATTTAAGACATGTAAAACTTTTCATTCAATTATATAGTATTTTGTGCTTAACACTTATGATTTGATTAACATTAAAAAATGCTTAAGAGAAATTCATTATTCATATCTTAAAAATATAATTAATTCATAAAAGTTATAATTTAATATTAAATTGATTCTGAAAACATCCATTTGAATGTCAAATTAATACTTAAATATTATATATACTAAAAACGGATTTTTTTTTCTTTTAAAAGTAAATTATCACCTATTTCCTCCCTTGAAAACAAAATGAATTCTCAGTACACACTCCAAAATAACTATGTTCTTGCTAAGTGTAGCTTGGATCTTCAAAAGTAATAATAATACTCATATATGCATTAGATAGATACTTATCTGCACCAAGACACATATAACAATTTCCTTATTATGGATTGTGGACTTTGGTGGCATTTTGGAACAGAGCACAAGAATAAGACCCCATCACAAACTTCTATTTCGACACTTCCTGAAGAACATGGCCGAGTGTTTTGTCTTTGATATTGCTGAATCACTGCTAAGGAAGTTAGCTTCTTATGTTTACGAAGAAGCTTCTCGAGCCTATGGTGTGTATGAAGATCTTCGAGGGATCAAAGACACCTTGTTAATAGTCAAAGGTGTGCTATTAGATGCTGAGGAGAAGAAGGAACAAAAGCATGGGTTGCGGGAATGGCTCAGGCAGATTCAAAACGTCTGCTTCGATGCTGAAGACGTACTGGATGAATTTGAGTGCCAAAACTTGCGAAAGATAATTGTCAAAGCTTCAGGCAGCACCAGGATGAAGGTAGGTCACTTCTTTTCTTCATCTAACTCTCTTGTTTTCCGTCTTAAGATGTCTCGTCAAATGAAACAAGTTAGGAGTAGATTGGATAAGATAGCAGTTGATGGGAACAAGTTTTGTCTAGAGAGGATTGATGTTGACAACAGACTTGTGCAAAGGAGAGAAATGACTTATTCCCACGTTGATGCTTCAGGGGTGATTGGAAGGGAGAGTGATAGGGAAGAAATTATCAAGCTTTTGATTCAAACTCACCTAGATGATGATGGTTAGGGAGATAAAAGTCTGAGTGTTATTCCCATAGTGGGTATTGGAGGGTTGGGAAAGACCACACTTGCAAAGTTGGTGTTCAATGATAAGAGGATGGATGAGCATTTTCAATTGAAGATGTGGGTGTGTATCTCTGATGAGTTTAACATAAGGCAGATAGTAGTTAAAATGATCAACTCTGCTTCTGCTAATGCTTCAGCTTCGGCTATTGCTCTTGCTCACCAAGAAAACATTAAAAACTTAGACATTGAGCAGCTACAAAGTCGTCTTAGACACAAGCTTTCTGGTCAGAAGTTTTTGCTAGTCTTGGATGATGTTTGGAATGATAATCGTGCAAAATGGATAGAGTTGAAAGATTTAATAAAAGTGGGTGCAGTTGGAAGCAAGATCTTGGTGACAACACGAAGTAATTCAATTGCTTCAATGATGGGTACTGTTCCTTCGTATGTTTTAGAAGGTCTTTCTATGGAGAATTGTTTTTCTCTGTTTAACAAATGGGCATTTAAGGAAGGCGAAGAAAAGAAATATCCCAGTCTAGTAGAGATTGGAAAAGAAATTGTGAAAAAATGCCGAGGGGTTCCATTAGCAGTCCGAACTTTAGGAAGTTCTCTGTTCTTAAATTTTAATTTAGAAAGGTGGGAATTTGTAAGAGACCATGGCATATGGAACTTAAAACAAGAGAAAGATGACATTTTACCTGCTCTTAAGTTGAGCTATGACCACATGCCTTCCTATTTGAGGCATGGTTTTGCTTTCTTTTCTTTATACCCAAAAAATTATGGCTTTACAAGTGCTGAAATTGCCAACCTTTGGGTCTCACTTGGCTTACTTCGATCTCAAGTTGGAAGTCAAAAGCTAGAGAATGCTGCAAGACAACGTATAGACGAGTTATATTCGAGATCATTTCTTGAGGATTTTCAGGACTTTGGCCACCTTTACTATTTCAAAGTGCATGATTTGGTACATGATCTTGCTCTTTACGTTGCAAAAGAAGATATTCTTCTGGTAAACTCAGGTACCCGGAATATACCTGAGCAAGTAAGGCATTTATCAGTTGTTGAAAATGATTCACTCAGCCATGCTTTGTTCCACAAGTCAAAAAGTGTGAGAACCATATTATTTCCAATTGAAGGAATGGGTGTTGACAGTGACGCTCTTTTGGATGCATGGATAACAAGATATAACTTCTTGAGGATTTTAGATGTAAGTGATTCCTCTTTTGAGACACTTCCCAATTCAATTGCTAAACTGGAGCACCTGCGAGCTCTCAGTCTTGAAAATAACCGCAAAATAAAAAGACTTCCTCGTTCTATATGCAGACTCCAAAATTTGCAATTTCTGTCTTTAAGGGGATGTGTGGAGCTTGAAACATTGCCTAAAGGATTAGGCATGTTGATCAACCTTCGAAATTTGTTTATCACCACAAAACAGTCTATTCTGTCAGAGGATGAATTTGCAAGCTTGAGAAATCTTCATACTTTGAGTTTTGAATTTTGTGACAATTTGATGTTTCTGTTCCGAGGGGCACAACAACTCGGATCTCTTGAAGTTTTGATAGTTCAATCATGTAGGAGCCTAAAGTCCTTTCCTTTTCATATTCTCCCTAAACTGGAGGTTCTTTTTGTCATTAGGTGCGAGATGCTAAATCTGTCTTTGAACTGTGAAAGTCCAATCCACAAACTGAGGATGAAGTTTCTGCATATTGAGCAATGTCCAAGGCAACAAATATTGCCTCGATGGATTGAAGGAGCTGCAGAAACTTTGCAGACATTGTTAATTTCAAATTTTCATAGTCTTGAGATGCTTCCTCAGTGGCTTACAACAATGACTCGTCTTAAGATGCTCCATATTGTTAACTGTCCTAAACTGTTGTATCTCCCCAGTGGCATGAATCGCCTCAGTGCCCTTGAAGATTTAAGCATAGATGGTTGCTTGGAATTATGTCAAAAATGTGAACCACAATCTGGTGAGTACTGGTCCTTCATTGCTCACATCAAACGCCTTTCCATTGGAGAAACAAGACAAAGGAACCTCCTTTTCCAAATGCAGAAACAGATCCGATTGAAATTGCATGATTTGTAGCACTAGAATACCAACTGTTCCCAAACACCGAGAATTTAAACGGGTATAGTATCCATTTTTTAACTAATATTCATGGAGTAACATGTTTTCATAAACAAACATATATATATATATATATATATATATATTCACCATTGTGGGACTGTTACTATGTTATAGTTGTATTTTTTTATTTTAAGAATTTATTAAAATAAAATTTGATAATAACAGTTATAGCTTATAAATATTAGTTTAAGTAAATTAAAATCATCTATATTTGTGAAAGAGGACTTGAGAAAGAGGAGTCTGGTAATAATATTTGCACAATACACAAAAGAAAGTCTTAGAAGATTGCATGTAAAACTTATAATAAAATAAAAACCTAATAGAAAGTAGCTATCAAACTAGATATTAACTAATTAGTCTAAGTAATAACTTTGAAGCGATGAAAAATCAAATCAAACATTAAGACTAATCAATCTGAACATACTTAGGAAACAGACACAACAAACAGAGCATAAATGCAACATACGAACAGTAAATATAAAACTTCCAAATCAAAAACCATGCAAACCTCACACAAAGGGAGCAAAAGTAACTGTGTGAGTCCTCTAATTCACGTCCATAGAGTTAAATGTTAAATGTTTACATTCATAATTTCTAGTGTGCATGGATTAAGATGGTTACTGCTTCGTGTCCCAAAATTAGTGTTGTTGGCTGAGTGAGGCGTCAGCAAGAAGATATTTTTTGCACGGTTTGTTTGTTGCATATCGAAATAAGTTAGAATTTACGAATTATGTAAAGAAGTGAAGTTGAACCACTTAACAAAATCTTATAGAACCCAATTCTAATTAGTTGGATACTTGGGTTTACATTCATTATCAAATTCTTTTCATGCAAGAAAATAAACTAAGCCATCAATTTTGAACGAAACCTTCATTTGTTCACAGGGGTTGGAGTTTAGAACTGCACAAAGGAGGCTTGATCTCAGAAAAATGAGAAACGTAAAACAAAATCACTTTAAAGGGGTTTTTTTTTCTTCACTGTTGTATAGTCTTCCCAATAATAGCTATGAACTTCAGCGATCAATGCCTTCAATTTTGTCTTCCACCTCCGAATATAACTGCCTCAGCTTCTCAATATTATCTTCTGAAGTTTCCCAGTAACCACGTCCATTGGCTTCCAAGAATGTCTGCACCAGCTTCCTGAAGGAGTTTGGATTAGTGTTCATGAGCTTTTTCAGCATTTGCTCATCTTGAATGAAAGTTGTGTTGGCTTCTTCATACACCCAATTGTCAACTTGGCCTGAAGTTGCACTCCATCCCACTGTATTGGTTAGTCTCTTCTCAATCTCACGAACACCCTCATATCCAGTAGACAACATGCCTTCATACCACTTTGGATTCAACAGTTTGGTTCTTGCGTCAAGTCTAACTGTCTCAGAAAGTGTACGAACCTGAAAACAATATGTATACAGAAGGTCTTAACAAATTCTTCGACATCTCTAATACAAAGGTCCTACTTGATTCAAAATTTGATAAAAAATTGAAAGAAAAGGAAAAATGAATTAATTAAGTTTTCTTAAGTAAAAATCAGCTTTATGAAGAAGTTAAACGAGAGTATTTCTATAAAAGTTAAAGTGTATGAGTTTATTTTGGCTTATGGAAGCTTCTCTTATAAGTACTTACTTAAAAGATTATCCAAACAGGGCGAGAGTTAATGTGATTTAAAGATCTTTTGGAGAAATGCAAACCAAGCTTGAAAATAGGAGATCCACTGGAACAATTTATACCTGAGCGTTGGCTGTAGTTGTATCAGCAATGTATGCACTAGGCTTCTTCCCATCTTTCCTTAGATTTTGAACCAGATTAGTTGGGTCTGAGTCAAAGTAATGACTAACATCAGTGAGGGAAATTTCTGATGAATCAAGGTTTTGGAATGTGGCATCTGCTGTGCTAAGAGCCATCTCAAAGACTTTTCTTTTCTCAGTCATGCCAGCACCAGGGGCATCACAATCAAAAGCAAAAGACTTTCTGCTAAGATACATGTCCTGGAGCTGCTTTTCATCATTCCATGAGGAATTCTCCACAGCCAGGTTTATGTTTGAGGAGTAGGAGCCGGAGGCGTTAGAGAATATCCTCGTTGCTGCCTCTCGAACTTCAACTCCAAGGGCTTGAGCTTGTTCTAACGCATGCTTTCTTACAAAGTTTTGCTCTGCTGGTTCATCTAATTCAGCAACCATCTTCACTGCACTGTCTAGAAGGTTCATCTGAGTAATGAATAAAACAATCAAATCAGCAACAAAACCAATGTAGCAACAAACAGCCTAATAAAATAAGATATAATATAGCTCTTATGCAAAACATTCAACTCAATCATCATCAGAGTTTTTGATGTAGCAAAATTCAAAGAAGGATCCTAATTATTGAGATGTGAGAAAAAGGTTGGAACTCATAAATAATTTCTATAACATGACTCTTTCAGTAACCAATTGTAAAATATAAAGAGTCCAACTGCAAGTTTCAATTCTGAACAATAATGGCAAAATTTCACAAAATGATGTAACAGGGGGGAGACTAAATTGGCTAAGTCTCCATTAATGGACAGCAAAAGAAGTAATACCTGATTGATGAAAAGGTCTCTAAACACTCCGGAGCAATTAACAACAACATCAATTCTAGGCCTTCCAAGCTCTTCAAGACTAACAGGCTCCACCCGGTTTACCCTACCAAAGGTATCAGCCACTGGTGTCACACCAATCATCCACAAGACCTGAGCCAGGGATTCACCATATGTTTTAATATTATCAGTTCCCCACAATACAAGTGCAATTGTCTCGGGATATTTTCCATCATTCTCAGCTTTCTGCCTCTCGATCAACCTATCTACCACTATTTTGGCACTCTGCATTGCAGCCGTTGTAGGAATAGCTTGGGGGTCCAGCGCATGAATATTCTTTCCTGTTGGCAGAACTTTAGGATTTCTTATTGGGTCACCACCAGGCCCTGGCTCCACATATTTACCTTCCAAGGCTTGCTTTAAACTTCCCACTTCATTATCGGCCACAACCAACTTCAAGCATTCTCCCAGGAACATAAACAAGGTTCTAAGTTTTTCCCTATCAGCTCGGTAAAATTTGGTGTTTGACAAATACTGAATCCATGGCTCATTTATGCCAAATCCAAGGATTGAGGTAAGCTTATCAGCTACTTCAACAACTTGACCCTTACTATTGGTAGTGCGCTCCACAAAGGCAGTGATTGCCCCACGTGATGCCTCAGTTATTTGCCTAAGAAGCTCTACATCCTTCAATATTCCTTTGTTACTTCCTCTATACACATCTTCTATATCTCTTCCTACAGTGTCAGCTAATATTGATGGAAGAGAAGAAATATCATCTTCAGGACGATCAAGTGCAGCAATGTTGACCAGTGTAGCAACAGCTTCCAAGGCTGAAGGAGGCTCACCAATGACATGAAGCCCACAAGGTAACAAACGAGACTCAATCTCCATGATCTTGGAATACACCTTTCCAACCACAAGGTCGCGCTCTTTAGGTGTGATCTCCTCACCCTCATCTGGCAGTGTCACATCTTTGTCAAGATTACACTGTTTAGCTGTGCTGATAATGGAACTCACAATTTGTGCTCCACGGCCAGTGTCTTTGAGGGACTGATATGAGGAGATGAGCTCACTTAACTGCTTAAGACCTTTGTATAGTCCAGCATTTTCCGCTGGAGGAGTCAGATAGCTAATGGTGTTTGCATAACTTCTGCGCTTGGCTATGGTGGCCTCAGAAGGGTTGTTTGCAGCATAGTAATACACATTTGGAATATTACCAATCAGACTGTCAGGGTAGCATACATCACTCATCCCCACCTGTTTTCCAGGCATGAATTCAAGGGAACCATGTGTCCCAAAATGAAGTACAGCATCAGCTTTGAAGATTTTCTCAACAAAGGAATAATATGCTGCAAATCCATGATGAGGGCTAGCAGATTTGGAGAAAAGCAGCCTCATTGGATCCCCTTCATAGCCAAATGTGGGCTGAACACCTATGAAGACATTACCATATTGTTTCCCATATACCAACAGATTTTCTCCATCTGCATTCAGATTGCCAGGGGGTTTTCCCCAATTCTCTTCCAGTGCTGTGGAATAGGGAGTCAAATTTTGGTACTCACGGGCACTCATTTTGTAAGCAATGTTCAAATTTGGACTGCTGAATTGAGCTTCTTTGTCATGAATAACCTCTTCAATCAAAGCTTCTGGAGTCTCTGGAAGCCCGTCAACATTGTAACCATCTCTTTTTAGTTCTTTCATGACTGAGTATATAGAGGCAAATACATTGAGATAGGCAGCAGTTCCCACATTTCCTTTGTCTGGAGGGAAGCTGAAGACGGTGATTGCTAGTTTCTTCTCTTCCTGCATGGATGCAGCTATTTATTAAGTGAATTTCAATGATAAAAATCAACTGTCCAAAGAGGTTAGATGAGAAAATGGTGCAAATTCAAAATGCCAATGAAAGTAAGAAATTCAGTGCACTGTATACAGATGGATTACAGTACAACCTGCAAGACAATAAGATTGGGAAATTATTCGACACTAAATAAATAAAAATGCATCTATGAATAAATTAACATTGTTCCACAACAAAATTTTGAGAAGAACAAACTTTGTTATTACCTACAGAATTATCAATCAGACATTATTTGTAAGTCATTTCTCCTTCGAGTATATGTCAACTGAACATAATTTTCTAAGAAATTATCTTCTAATTCATTTAAAGAAAAATCATCTTTGGCATCAGCTTCAATCTTTCTGCATTAAGTATTCGTCCAAACAAAGAAGAGAAAAGGGTTTACTCTTTTCAGTCTCTTAACTCTTCTCCGATTTCTTATTTTAGTCCCTAATGTAAATTTTGACCAATCAAAGTCCCTGAATTTTTTCTCAGTTGCCACGTTTTGTCAAGTGACTTGTCATGTCATTAAAATGTCTAGCGGGATTCTCACGCGTAATTTTTTGTTATGTTTCTAATCTCACAAATGTTCAAACAAGTTAATAAAATCAACTAGTTAATGAGAAAGTAACAAGTATACATGGCTATTCTGTCAAATTCCTTGATAACATGACAAATCACTAGGCTGTCAACATAACTACTACATGTGGTAACAGAAAAAGGTTCCGGACTTTGACTATTCAAAATTCAAATTAGTGAATAAAAACAGAAATCTGAAAAAAATAAGGTTAAACAGATACTAAACCCATGAATGTGCGTGTGTGAATAGGATTGTTGTCATTAGACCTTTAATGGTACAATTTTGGGATTATTGCTTGCAAAATTGCAAGTATGTAGCAGGCTTGGTTCAAGTTTGACTTTTAAACTGGATTCATATATTTAGAGGTTCAAAGAAATGGCAAAAACCTTTGATTTTCTTTTCAGTTCAGCCCATCTGATTGCCCTGATGCAGAGCTGTTCCACTCTCTTATGTAGAGCATGAGATTTTCCTGAAAATATATCAATTAATCAATAAACAACAGAGAAGTATGCAAAGGGAAAAAAAAATTCAACATCTCTAGTGATTCCAGTATTCATGCTCCTATGGAAATGTTAGTTAATATATTAGTCTGTAAAGAAAAATCTACCAGATGCTTATCTAACCATAATTACTTAAAACATAAAACTAACGACATCTACAGCTTAATAGTCATCACAAAAAGTTAAAAGCAGATTGTAAATTAAAGAGATCATGGTACCTGTTTTAGGATCTCGACCAGCGAAAACAATTGGCTCCATGCCTCCATCTAGCTCTGGCAGAGCAACTTGAAGAGCAACCTGTATTGGATGCAGACCAAGAGTACTATTGAGCCATTCTTCAGTTGTCTGAAACACCAGTGGCAGGGCAACAATGTAAGGAACATCAAGTTTCATCAAAGCCTCAACCGCCCTTGGGTGGTCCTGCCTTGCTGGCCCTCCAACAAGAGCAAAGCCAGTGAGGGATACCACAGAATTCACAAATGGTTTCTTCGTAATTGGATTAATGAAGAACTTCTCCACTGGCCCTGAAAAGTCAAGTCCACCAGCAAAAATGGGAATGACCTTAGCCCCTCTAGCCTCCAGCTCCATGATCACAGCCACATAGTGTCCATCGTCCCCAGTCACAATATGACTCCTTTGCAAAACCAAACCAATGACAGGTGCATTCGGACTCTTCAGCTTCTCATTTGCATCCCTTCTAGTACCATACCAATTCAAATACTCTTTCACATCATCATACATACAAGGAGCCAAAGGGTGCCAAATCCCATTGTCCAAGTACAGAACCGGCTCCGAATACTCGATCTTCGCACCTTTCAGTGCTGGAATATAAGATCCAGTAATCATTTTCAGGAAATTCTGCAAGTTATCAGGAGATCCCCCGAGCCAAAATTGCAGACTCAGTATATAGAGCCTGGCATCCTGAGCTTTATCACTTGGCAAATACTTCAAAACCTTTGGCAATGTCCTCACCAGCTTCAACATGCTGTCAGCAAAGCCAGCAGACTGAGGCTTCTTTCTCTTGAAAAGCTGGAAAAAGGGACTCTTGGATTGCCCAAGCTGTGACATGCTGAAAGAACCCAACTTGTTAAGCCTCATAACTTCAGGCATTGATGGAAACACCAAAACTGCATCAAGCCTGTCCCTTTCTTTCTCCACTGCGGCCTTGATCTTGAGAGCAAGCTCCTCCACAAAAATCAAAGACCCAATGAAGATGTTAGCATCCTCTAAGTCCTTGCAGAAAGTCTGATACGTTGACGCGTCTCGAAGCTCCTCAACCAAGTAACCCACAACCTCAAAGGAAGCATGTTTCCTTTTACTGTTGAGAGCCAGGACTGCAGCAGTGACAGATGATTGGTACTGAGCCTCAAGAACCACATACACAATTTTAACTGTTGGCAAGTTTTGGTCATTCTCTGGAACTATTCTACGAACTTCTGGGGTGGTTTGGGTGAATAGACCATTGCCAATGGCAGCACACTTCACTCTCAGAGAGGCTTTTGAACTACCATTATAACCACCCTTCTTGGGAAGGAAAGAATGAAGAAAAAGATGCTTCTGGGCAAGAGAATGAAGCTGGTCAGGTTTAGAGCTTGGTAGAGTAAATGATGAAGATACTAAAGAAGCCATTGATAATCAAGCTAAGTAGGAAACAACAAATTCCTCTTTGGACAAAATGAAGACCAAAGAAGGGAAAAGGAACACAAGCAAAGCAAATAGGAAATTGCTCGAAAGAAAAACTAGGGGCACTGAGGAGCCTGTGCAATTCTGCTCCTAAGGCTATGCTCCCCTTTCAAAGGTGCGTTCTTTCTCTTATGTTGGTTTTCGGAATGGTGAGTAGCTCTTGGATTTTATGTGTTTTGTGTGGATGAAACTGGTACAAAAATAAGAAGTAGAGAATTGAAATAGTTGGTAATTTCAGTTAGTGGTGATAGTTAAGACCACGTGGCCCAATGGCTTGTTATAGGAATTAAAAACTTAGAGGTTTTGTTAGTGCAAAGTGTGAGAAACAAGGTGGATGACATGTCTTGGTTTTGCACTATCTGTTAGTACCATTGCTATATCTTTCTATCTGTTGGATTCTCATGCGATGGAGTCTCCTGAAATCTGATTGGTGGAAGTGGATTTCCCTAAAAGCTGTTGTAGGGAGAGGGGGAGTGAATATCTTATTGATGAGAAGGAGAGAGAAAGTGTGAGATTTTTTTTTTTTGTTTGAGGCCTTTTAGCTTGCATGTAGATTCTTTGCTTTTAGAATTTGTGTTCCACCTTGAAAAGCGTTGTTAAGATATCTCTCATGTGACTCCAATGGGACCAAGTAGTGTGTACTTGGTCTTACGTTTGCAGGAAATTTACCACAGGTTCCCACAGATCTGTGTTGCTTGTTTCTCTGTTTTTTTCTTCAAGTTGAATTTACGATTCTAATGTTAAGATTGAGTGATGTTTTAAGTGAGTACCTAATGAATTTACAACGACTGCTGAAAAAATCTTAACATGATGAGAAAAACAGTAAATTAATCAATAACAAATGTCTAATTAATATTTTTTATGAATGTATGTTTAGGAAATTTGTTTCTGGTTTGGAAATTGGATGCTCTAGTTTATTTTATTTTATTTTATTTTTATATTCAAAAACCACTAAATCCCTTCCTTGACTTCAAGAGAATAATTCAGATTAACACACCAAATTCCATTTTCCGATTTTCTCTTTATAATTGAATTTTTTCCAAATCATGGTTTATATGATTTCTGAAGGAAGTAATGTTAAAGTCTTTCAATATACAAGGCACAGTGAATTCTCCTACTTTTGGATTAATTATCCATAAGATTGAAATTTTACTAACCAATATTTACTAGAATCGCCCATGAAACAATAAGCAGAAGAAAAAAAAAAGAAAAATACGTAGAAGAAAAAAAAACAGCCATACAAATACGTGGAGTTATTAGATAAGACGGTGTGATCCAACCTTTTTGGGCTATAGATTAAAAACAATTAATAATTTACTCTTATCCATATTTAAAAATAAATCTTTTTTTTTAATTTGATCCAACGTTAGTTTGACGGATGAAAGAGTTTTAATTAAAAATAAAAAAATAAATAAATAATTCTTAAAATAAAAATATATTTTTAAAATATAAGTTATATTAATAAAAATATTTAATTTAATATATAAATTATAAGAAAAATAATTCATTCAATTTAAAATAAAAGTTAATGATATATTTTTTTATTAAATAATTTAATAATTAAAAATAAGCATATAATATCTAAGTATTAAAGACTTATTTTTTTAAATTTCTTATCAAATTACTTTATAATATATATATATATATATATATATATATTAATAAAATATTTTTATTTTTATTTAAAAATAATTTATTATTTTATAAAACAAGTTAATTCATAAATTTACATTAATCTAAATTTATATAAACCATTACTTCAATTTAGATCCTATATTTTTCTTCTCTTATAGCGTATGGAATTAATCTTATTTTAATACTTCTATTTAGTTTTATCATAATTTTAACAAATTCTATCCTGCAAAATATGAAAATAGTTTGATACAAATTCTAAATTACTACAAGTAAATAATAGGAAGAATATTTATATACAAAAAAACATAACAAATTTATAATAATTTTAGCAAATTCTATTCTCCAAAATACATAATAGTTTCATAACACCTTTAAGAAACTCTAAATTAACACAAAATAACTTAAAAATCAGACTACCTAAATATAAAGACATTTCAAGATAAATTTAGTTATACCTATTAAAAGTTAAGATTATGAGATGTTGAATCTGGAATGGTCAATTAGACATTTTGTTGAAAGTCTCACATCGTCCATCTCATGTCATTTTGTATGGTTTAAATACATATTAGACTACTTCACATATTGTCAGATTTTATGTTGAAACCTTAATATGGTATCAGAGTCAAAGTCTATCTTTTCGGTTATTGTCATGGGCCAAAAATTGTCTTTTAATAACGATCGTGTTAAAAATTTCACATCGTCTACCTCGTATTATTTGGTATGATTTAAATACATGTTAGGTTACTCCACTAAACTAACACAAAATAAATATCATGAAGAATGTCTGTAGATAACATACATACAACAAATTCATAATAATTGTTTCTTTCGTAACATCAACAAAATATTACTTTTATATATATATAATGTAGTGAACTCTATAAACTATCAACCAAAGTTTTATTGGACGATCATAAATTAAATAACCCACAAATTAGTTAATGGAGTCAATATCAATCATTTAACGTCAAAACCCTATCTTTAAGTCATTATTCATTATGTAACATAGAGTACATAATTAATTATTTTATTTTCACATAATAAAAAAAAATGTGATTTATAGTGAAAAATAAAATAACAATTTTATTTTTTTTATTGAAAATGGTTTTCTTAATGCCTCCATTTCCGCACTTTTTCCACGAATCCTCTCTCACTCTATTTCTTCTTCACATTCAAATAGAATTGATTTGATCAACTTCAAATAATAAAAAAACTTTTTGCTTAAAAACACTTTATTTTTTCGTATGAATCACACACTCTATCATTATGTGCCTATTATTTTAATTTAAAATAATTAACTAAATAAATGATATTGAAAAAAAAAACATTTTAAGACTTATAATCAATTTGAAATGAAATATGCCTAAATTTCATTTAATTTAATTAAATAACTTATCATCACTTACTTTACGCTTAAATTAAATACAATTTAGGGTGGAAAATTGTTTTTATCTTATTTATATAAAAGATAGTTACTTTTCACATGCACCTTTGACAAGTTGTAAAACTAAAAGGGAAATCAGATTATTCAATTATAAATAAGGATTAAGTAAGGAAAAAAATTACAAGTTAAAACTATATATCATTCATATAGATATTCACATTGTAGCATATTACATAATTTATTTTTCAAAATAAACAAAAACCTACATCTCATGTTTAACTATAATACATCACCCAAATAGAATTGTCACGACCCTTGTGTTGCTATGACTTTAGTAGAATTGTCATGCTTCAAGATGTAGCGGGTAGTTCTTATTGTCTAAAAAAACTTTGATAACACAAAATCAACAACATTATAATCATAATATTCTCAAATAGGTAATATAAGTCAAACAAGTTACCATGCCTCCTCCTAATGTATGATATGGATAATTGTCAATTGGTCATTACATCCCAATAATATAACATTAGAGAATAATGATACCTTTAACTAAAACTAAAAAATATAGTGAAGAATCTCATTGAGAATTTAGTACGAGACTATGTGAATCTCAGCTTCAAGCAATTGTGTATATCAATTGTTGGACAAATTTTATGACCATAATATGCAATTCTCGATAATTTATAAATATGACATTATAATTTATCATCATGTAATTAAGGATTTTCAACCATCAATAATCCATTCCATGAAACATTAAAACATAAAAATTAGAAAATACAATATAAATAATATAGATTAAATTTGTATAACATAATAAAAAAAACTTTTGCAAATTTGTTTTGATCATAATTTTCTATATATATATATATATATATATATATATACATATAAACTTTTTATGTAAGTGATTTTTTAGTCTAATAATTGGTTTTCTTTTAAAAAAAATTCATTTTTGAATTTTTAGAATAAAATTCACAAAGTTAGGATTATGATTCGAAACTCACTTTTTTTTTCAATGAAACTTTGTCAACCAAATAATTAAATAGGAAGAGTTTAGGTTTTCTCATTTTATTAGAAAGAGACGAAGAAGAAATCAAAAAATAATTAAATAGGAAGAGTTTAGGTTTTCTCTTTTTTATCAAGAAGAGACAAATAAGAAAACAAAAAATTCAATATGAAAAAAACTTAGTTACTCTTTTGTGTATTGAGTGTCAAGATTACTGTTATCAAAATGGGTATTTCATTATAGTTTGACTTCAGGGATAAAAAAAAATTAATGATTTTAAATCTTATTTATATTTTAAAATGAGATAAAAAAAAGGTTATTTTTAACATGATTGATTCTTTTTATATGTATGTCAAATCAATTAATAAAAAATATTTAAATAAAAAATAAGAAATATATTTTAAAATTAAAATTTATTAATAAAATTAGTTTTTATTTAATATATAATAATTTAATATATAAATTATAAGAAAATATATCTATTTAATCTCAAAATATAAATTAAAATTTATTTTGTATTATCATGATTTATTTTTTAATTTAAAATAATATTTAATCTTGGTTATTAAATCTTAAAATAAATTATGGTTAATGATTTATTTTAATGTTTTTTAATAAAATAATATTATTATCTTTTATTTAAAAATTTATTATTATGTTATAAAAGAGGTTAGTATATCTTAAACTTATGATTTAAATAGATAATTAATATTTTTTTCTAACCTAGCTTTTTTTTATGATTTTTAGATTGATCTATCAAACCTAATTTTTTTTATGATTTTTAGACCGATCTATCGAATTAAATTTATTGTAACACCCTAACAAAAAAATAATAAAATAAAATTAGAGATTAAGCTAATACTAATTTTCCTTTTAAAACAAGTAATGGGAATAGATATCTTAAAAAAAATTATTTTATTTTCTATTCCTCAAATGAGAGAAAAGAAAACAAATAAAAAAATTATCTTGAATGGAGTAAAAAAATATTGCTTTTTTTTCCTATAATTATGTGAACAAATTTTTGAGAAAGAAAAGATGTCACTTAAATTATTTTTTTTATAATAATTGGGTGAAAATTAAACCCAAATCATAAATATTAATTAACACAAGGTAAAAAAAATATTTTTTTCCTTTCAATGATACTCGGGATTGGAGGAAAAAGGATTTATGAATTTAATTTTTGGCTTGTAAATGAATCTCAACAATTATAAAATAAGACCTATATTTTGTGATTTAATTTTATATTAATTATATTAATTGAGCCGAAAATTAAGTTATTAGAATTAATTATTTAAAATAAATTTTAATTTGTAATTAATGTATATTTTTATAGAAATATTTATGACACATACATAGTAATTCAATTTATTAGTAAAAAATATATAAAAAAATTATATAACATTCCATCATGAAATTAGTAACAATATTAAGGACGATTTTAATAATAAATTTTCTATTATTAATAAAAAAAAATTGAAATTTGTAATTAAATAAATTTAATTCAAAATAATTAAATTTAAAATTTATTAAAAAAATACTTAATTTTATACCAATTGAATTTAATAATCAACTTCACCATAAAAACACACAATAAACTTCACATAACATTTTTATAAATTAACTTTTTGAGTAATTATATATCAAATATTTTATATTTAAATATAAGATGCTATAATTTATAAATATATTCTCTACCTTGATATATTCTCATGAAATGACTTCCTTTGTAAAACACAACTTTATATTGTCTTCTTATAATAAATTTAATTCTTAAATAATTTATGACACAAATAAACAATGATCATCTAATATTGCATTCTTGAACTAAACAAAGATTTTGAGTAACTTAACACAAATAAATACTTTATTTGGGAACTTAAATAAAATGATTTAATTTATTAGATGCCTGTTTTAAAGATAATCTTTGTTGGTATTCAAAGTAAACAACAATAAATATCCAAGACACGAAACTTATTTAAGTTTTTTTTTTACATATAAAATGATTAGTAAATAAATGTTAATGGAATATAAAATGAAAATGATATATAATTATTTATTTAAAAAGATTATAATAAATAATTATTTTTAATATAAATTATTATGTTTTAATAAATAAAAATGTACTATATATTTATTGTTTATATATAAAATATTTAATAGAGTTATACCCTTATTATTTAATTTAAGATACTTTAGTTAACATTTTATATTTTTTGAATAAATCTTTAATACTTTAAATATAATTTATGTTATTTTATTAATCATTTGAAAAATAATGTAACTCGAATTATTGATAAAAAAACTAAAATAATGAAACTCAACGTTAAAAAAAAAAAATTGTAACATTTGCTGCAACGCCTAATTTTTTCTTAAAATAGTGGAAATTAAAACCTGCAAAACCCTAACGAGGTGAGCGCAACGATCGTCGATGGCGTGCAATGGCTCTGGGTGCCAATCCGGTGTTTGCTACAAAGACGAAGACGTAACACGTAACCAACCAATCAAATCCGAAGAAACCGATTCAACAAACCCTACCAAGGTCTGCATCAAGTGCAAGCTCAACGACGCCGTTTCTGGCTACGGCGGAATCGATGACGGTCGTTTCTGCGCCGATTGCTTCAAAACCAACTTATTCGGAAAGTTTCGTTTCGCAGTCACTTCAAACGCCATGATCACGCCCACCGATAAGGTCCTCGTTGCCTTCTCAGGTGGCCCTTCTTCCAGGTCAGCACAAACCAATCCCCTCATCACGTTTTTTGTTAAATATCTTTAATTTATGATTTGAAATGTTGGATTAATTTAAGTTTTGACAGTTGTACTTTATAGAGAATAAAGGGTGTGCTTTATTTTGTTTAGGGTAGCTTTGCAATTTGTACATGACATGCAAGAGAGGGCTCAGAGGAACTTTGATGCGAGTAGGGATAGGTCGTTGCCCGTGTTTGCTGTTGGAGTTGTGTTTATTGATGAAAGTTCCGTCTTGTCTATTCCTTCCAATGAAATGGAGGAAGCTGTTGAAGTTGTCGGAGAGATTGTGTCGAGTTTAGTGCCGCCCAGGAAGGATTTGCATATTGTTCCTATTGAGACGGTTTACTCAGCGGATTCTGGTGAGGGTAAGGAGAGCCTAGCGAATGTAATGAACACGGTGAGTGATCCAACGGGAAGGGAGGATATGTTGCTCTGTCTGCGAATGTTGGCGCTCCAAAAGGTTTGTTTCTGGATGAATGCCTTACTATTGTTGTCTCTAAAGCATGTAGACATACATATTTTTGTGTGAATTTTTTTTTTTTTTGGATAACTTTTATGATGCTTGTACAGGTTGCTTCTGAATATGGGTATAACAGGATCGTTCTGGGATCATGTATCTCGAGGATTGCTTGCCATGTCATTTCAGCCACTGTGAAGGTTTGTTACTGGATTTTACCGAGTCATAGTCATTAGTGTTGGTTGGAGTGAACTAAGAATTTTTGTCATGATTTGTGAATCAGCTTGTCAAATTCAATGTTCTCCACTCTACACAATTCAGTTGCTACATTTTATTTATTTGAAGAATATAATATACCCCTGAGCTGCTATCGAGAAGCTTTCTCTTAAGACTGTTTCTTAATATGATGGGAGTGAAAATGCATGTTAAGTGTTAACTCTGTTTATTTGAAGTTTTGAATTGAGTCACCTTTGAGTTCAAGGTGACACATGAAATCAGAAAATCTTATAATATAGCTTTCTCTCTCCTTTTTATTTATTTATTTATTGTTTATGCTTTCTAAAACTATGGATTATGTTCTGATTTGTGTCATTGGCTCATTGCTCCCGATAAAATCAAACTGTGTTGCGTACAATGTGCAGTAATCCTTGTGACCTTATCTGTCTTCCTACTTTCTCTTGGTAAGGAATGACCTGTGTAATCAATTCACATGGCCTTTTTTAACAGGGTCAAGGATACTCATTACCTGCAGATATACAGTATGTTGATGCTAGATGGGAAGTTCCTGTTGTACTTCCTCTGCGGGATTGTTTTGCCCAAGAGATCAACATGCTTTGTCGCCTTGACGGGTTTGTAGTCCTCTGGTTATGTCAAATATTGACGACAATAAAAATTGTTTTTTTTTGTTTGTCTTGTTTTTTTCACATTATTTTGCGTGTATGGTCTTCTATGTTGTCCGACTGAATTATATAAATCTTACTGTATGTGTATCTTATCTCTTTTTGGCAGGGCAGTCTAAAGACTGTGAAGTTCTCTACCGGTCCGGGCTCTAGCATTAATGGCTTGGTATCGTCTTTTGTGTCTTTGTTACAGGTATAATTTGTTGTGCCTCAACCCTTTGATATATAGTGGAGACATTTAATGATATATAAGGAAAGTCAGTTCTTACTTGTGGGTGTGGGTTTTTAAATTTGAGACATTGGTTTTTTATGGAAGATCAAGTCGCTCTCATTCATGGCCGAATCTTGGCCAAAGGCAATTTTGGCTGGTTGGCTGATTCTATGTCTGACCTATTATTTGTATGTTTGTATCTTTGTAAATTCTAACAGGGGACAAATCTTGTGTACATTATGTGGCTTAACGCCTGCTTTTAAAGAAGATGCTTGTTATGTATTAAACATTAACTTAATAGTAACCTAAATTTAATTGGAAAATCACTAGTTGAATACATATTTTGCAGGAAGAAAACCCTTCTCGAGAGAGCACAATTGTAAGAACAGCTGGTAAACTCACTCCCTTTCAATTCAACAGGATTCCAGAGATCATTGATGGTAATGTTCCTTTGGCAACTCGAAGAAGACAGAAGAGATACAATCTCAAATCAAATGAATCTGTTTCCTCAGAATCTTTCTGTCCTCTCTGCAACAGCCCACTCCACAAGAGTGAGATTGTTGATTGGAGTAATATGGATAGCCACAGGAGTAGTGACCTTTTTAATAAGAGCTGCTGTTCAAGTTGTCAGTTTCAGATACTTCCAAGTGATTCAACATCAATGGAACAATTTTATATGGATTTACCTCGATCAATGGTTGGCCGAGCAAAGCAAGTTAGCAATGGTAAATTGAGTCTGCTAAGGTGAGTGTTTGTGCTGCTCTCAACATCAGTTGATTGTATTTCAAATTTGTCAATAACTCATTATGCCACTCAGACCTTGTTCAATGCTGGCCCCGATGAATACATCAAATGTAGTATCGCATAAAGTAATCTGCTTTCATATAGTTAAATTTACTAATATATGTTTTTGTTAAATGATAGTATAAGTATGGTAAAAGAAATTAGATGAATATCAGAACTCTGGATAATCTGTTTCTTTGGCTTTGCTAGTATTCCGCAAGTTCTTTTGCTAGCCTTGAAACAATGACTGATAATGAATTGAGATGATGAAATTCCTGAATCAAATTGTTCGACATTAAATTCTTTTAACTATAATTAGGAAACAACCATAGTTCAATTAAGGTCCGGTAGTTCAGTCTATGGGTTCTTTTCCCCAGTAAAGGGTTATTTCTCTTGCTCAGGCCTTTGGTTACACTCGAGACATTGCTTAATGTACTTTAGTGGAAGCACAATTAATTGCTTGGGTTATGGTCAATTTTTTTAACTGTCATAATGGTTTTCTCTGAAGTATGCTTGAAAGATTCTATTTATTTTATGGTAGTAAGAACTTATTGCCCTGACCTTTCTTCATGACATAAGAGATTACGTGGCAATATTCTTGTTTTCAGGGAACAAATACAAGATTTTCTGCTTTCTGATGGTGAAGATGAAACATAGGATCACTTTTGTACATTGAGGCTCTTTGTTGAAAGGATGAAACATAGGAGGATCACTTATGGCCTATGGAGCACTTGGATCCACTGGCCTGATTCAGTTCATGGTTGTAGATTCTCTGGATAATATTTGAGAGCATATTTAAGCTGGGATGATAGATTAGATATTTTTTTTTTTTTGTATCTTTGGTAATTCAAGGAGTGACAAAGTTGACCCCGGATACTCGGTGGGGGCATCAAGGTTATTTATATTGCTTTAGCATTTATTTGCGTCTATTGTATTTTATGAGAAGTTTTGACCCACCATAACAATAAAGAAATCATTTTGCAACCTGTGACTTGTATTTATGACATATTTTCTGGATTCGCTTATTTTTTTAAAAACGATCGCTTATTTATTAGCTCCGTATTAGAATGTTTGAAAAATAAATGATTATTTATGAATAATAATTAAGAACTATACTAATTTGCTATTTTAGTCCTTTTTTTATTTTAACGAAATCCATTGTCGGACTGTGAAAATCGTAAACGGGGTAATCGTGATTTAGGAGCTCGTGGTAATCAATTGATTATTTAGGAACCTTAATCACTTCATAATTATTACTTATTTTTAAGATTTTTACTTTATTTTTAAAATTTGTTTTATGTTCATTATTTTAAATAATCGATTTTGCAAATACAAAAACTTAAATAAAGTTGTTCAATTGTAAACCCTAGGAGAACAGCAATAAAGAATAGATTGATAAATACATATTATTAGTTTGGGAATGTTGACAGCTCAGTATATGAATCACATTGAAACATCAGATAGTCTAACTAGTAATAGTTGTACATCTTTTATTATTAATAATAAGACATTATAGAAGGGCGTATGTCCTAGAAGTTGAGATAAATCGATTTTTAAATAGATTTCTATATTAATAATTAATTTTAATATATATTATTTAAACATATGTAACACTTTTTTTAACAATTGAATTTTATATTAATAATAAATTAATACTATTTAATTTTAGAAAATTGAATAATTAATTTTGAAATAATACTTTATAAGAACCAAAATTACATATTCGAATTTAATCATTTACAAAATTGACTGTGTCATCATATAAAATTCAATTACTAATCTTTATGTATTTGTTCACTATTTCATGTCATTTTGTGCGAAAATAAATTCGAATGGGACTATTTTTTTCAGACATACTTTTCCCATCCCCTTAATGCGCACGCACCCAAACATTTAGTGAAACGGTGCGTTAGAGTCTTGTCCTTCTCCCCCAACAAAAATACACTTTTCAGAGCATCAAGGACTGTGATCGCATCGCGCTTCAGAGGAAGTGAAGATTAACACTAATTAGGGCAGGCATCAAACCAGCACCATTTCAAGCTTTGGGTATTTATGAAATTCTCTCTCTTTCTACTCTTCTTGTCAAAAAGATTTTCATTTCCAATGTCACTTCAAGAATTCTGTATGTCTTGGTAGGACAATTTCTGCAAATTCTGTAGATTTTTAACTATTTCGTTTGATCATGTATTTGCCTCTTGCTGTATAGAATTGTTCATTTATATTTTGAATAGCTTCAGCAGTGAAATACTAATAATCTGTAACCCTCATCCTTGTGAGAAGAAGTTATTTTGTTGGTCTGAGTATAATTTTAGTAAATAAGGTTTTAAATCGTGATCATAGTTTCATAAAGATCCTTGATATTGTAGGATATTGCGGATAAATGTGACCGATGGTCATATTTGCATTTTCTGTGACCCTAAAACCCTAGAGTTTGTGGCCGAAATCATAGTTGCGGACTGTTTTTTAAAACCTTGTTTGTGTAAAAAATACTGAAACGTAATTTCTCTTACATTTCTAAGTTCCTGTCTTTTTGAGTTTTGACACGGTTGTTTTTCCTACAGGAAATGGGTGAGCAATGTCATTCACATGCTCCATTAGATATTATTTCCAGTGGAAGTGAGGAATACTCGATCTGTCATTCACCAAAGGAATGTAAGATTGAAACCATTAGTTTTGATGAAAATGATGATGCTTGTCCTGTGCCACGGCCTGGGATGATCTTTGGGTCAGAAGCTGAGGCGAGATTGTATTACACAAAATATGCCAACCAAATGGGCTTCAGCATCAGGACTAGAACCTCAAAAAAGGGACGTGAAGGAAAAGTTAAATATTTCATACTTGTATGTTCTAAGATAACAGTAAGTGTTGTTGATTCGTCAAGGAAACAGTATTGTACAGCTAGGATAAATTTGACTTTATGCAGAGATGGAACCTACCGAATTAATGCAGTTATTCTCAGTCATAATCATGAATTGGATCCTCCTCATCTACGCCCAAGTAATATTGACATGAGAGGTAAAATAACTTTGGATTCAGACGTTGTTGATATGGGTGCTCAGAGGATATCAGATGAAAATAATTGTGGAAATAACCTGCAGAAAGAAAGACATGGGATTGGGGAGAATGGAGATGGTGATGCCCTTCAGAAGTATTTGGTGAGGATGCAAGAACAAGATAGAAACTTCTTCTATGCGATTGACTTGGATGATTTGTTCAGCGTGAGGAATGTTTTTTGGGCTGATGGAAGGAGTAGAGCTGCATATGAATCGTTCGGTGATGTGGTGATAGTTGATACTACATGCCTTTCTAATCACTACAAAGTGCCACTTGTAACTTTCGTTGGAGTTAACCATCATGGGCAATCTGTACTGTTTGGTTGTGGGTTGTTATCATCCGAAGAGTCAGAGTCATTTGCTTGGCTATTTGAATCATTATTGCATTGCATGTCTGGTGTACCCCCACAAGGAATCATAACAGATCATTGCTGCAGGCCGATGCAGAAAGCAGTTGAAACTGTATACCCCTCCATTCGACATCGGTGGTGTTTGTCAAATATAATGGAAAAACTTCCCCAACTAATCCCTGAGTATGCTAATGACAAGACCTTAAGAGATCGTTTGCAGAATGTTGTATATGATACACCCACAACAGATGAATTTGAGGGGAAATGGAGGAAGATTATGGAGGATTTTGACCTCAAAGACAATAAATGGTTGAAGGACTTGTTCCTTGAGCGACAACACTGGGCTCCTTCCTTTGTAAGAGGTGATTTTTGGGCTGGAATGTATATTAAACCACAAAGTGAAAGTATGCATGCATTTTTTGATGGATATTTAAACCGGCAAACAACTTTGAAGCAATTTGTTGATCAGTATGATAATGCCTTGCAATATAGGGCTGAGAAGGAGTATATAGCTGACATACATTCATCCAGTGACAGTCAGGCTTGTGTTACCAAATCTCCAATTGAGAGGCAGTTTCAATCTGCATACACTCATGCCAAGTTTCTGGAGGTTCAACATGAATTTGTTGGAAAGGCAGATTGCAACGTTTCTATTGCTTGTGAAGATAGTTCTATTTGTCACTACAATGTGATTGAGGATGTGATTATAGAGGATAAACCTATGGAATCCGAGGTTGAAGTCATATATGACAGGAAAGGTTGTGATGTAAGATGCAATTGTCGCTTGTTTGAGTTCAGAGGTATACTCTGTAGGCACTCGCTTGCAGTACTGTCACAAGAGAGAGTGAAGGAGGTCCCCTGTAAATATGTGTTGGATAGATGGAGAAAAAATATTCAGAGGAAGCATGTTTATATAAAAACGAGCTATGGTGTTCAGCATTTTGAACCTCATGTGCAGAGGTTTGAACTGTTATGCAATCAATTCAATAGTATTGCTGTTTCCGCTGCTGAATTCGAGGGTACAAGTTCTTTTGTGAAGGATACCCTATATAACTTAAAGGAGAAACTTAAAGCATGGACATCGTTACAGAGAAACTCTTCTCATGTGGACGTAGAGAAAGGCAAATAATACGATAGATTGGACATGAAGTTTTCAAGGATTTAATATTACTTCAATTAATGTAAGTATGACTAACTGTAATTATAAAAATTATCTTATGGATTTTCGTTATCATAGATTCTTGAAATTTTTTAATGGTTACTGTTGATGCTTTTTAATTATATCTAACTAGTTTTCGAGCAATACAGAGGGACATACGTAAAGAATTTTTAAGATACTTTAGCAATTGTATTAATGATATATATCTATATTCAAATTAATAAGAGAACAAATTAAAATTCTTGCAAAAATGTTTTTTTAGCACACAGAGTACATAAAACAATAACTGATCAAGGGAAATGCAAAATGTAGCCTGCAAAGAATGCTAAAAGCTTAGAGCCTAATTTTAAATGATCATCAAGTAAAGCAACAAAACAAGAGCAAAACTAACAATAATGATATACAATTATTCTATCTTTAAAATCTATTTTGATGTAATGAAACCACTCTGCATAAGACATGTTTGTCACTTAATATCTCTTATCAAAACCTTTTTCTATTGGATACTCAATATTCACATGCTCCTGCCAAACAACAAACTAAATTTGCACTATTATCTAAAAACATTATTAATCTTTTTCTTTTCAAGTAAAAACTTGGAAATTTTATAGAATTCAGTTAAACGTATATGAGATGCCATTGTTTATATTATATGAGAATTTTATGTTTAAAATTTATTTAAAAATAAAATAGTAATTTTGAATTATGATAATCAAAGACAACTGAGAGTGTTAGGAAGAGATTGATTGCAAAAGTTTATGGATGAGTATTAAAGATATTATGTTAATAAGAAAAACCACCCACTTTTAAGTTTGTAGATTTCAATTTCTTTAACAAATTATCAAATTTCAATAACAATAAAAAATTATCGTAATAATTCATGTTACAAAGAATAAATATATATTACATAAAATAAACTCCAAATACTGACTTAGAAAGCAAATTCCTTAAAAAAAAAAATTGTCTTGTTTAAGCTTTTATTTGAGAAAGAGCGAGTGTCGTAGTATTGTCACATTACATGGAGCCAGAAGTAGAAGAACAAGCTCTTTCGCCGGAGCCTCAGGGTCGCTCCATCTGCTCCAACTGCGACCGTCCCACGCGCGTCTGTCTCTGTCACGCACTTCCCCTTCCTCCGATCCCAACCTCCACTCGCATCCTCATCGTGCAGCACCCTCACGAGGCTCGACACAAGCTCTCCACCACACCCATCCTCACGAAGTCCCTCCTCCGCGCCTCCGCCGTCACTGCCCGCCGCCTCCGTCGTGGCATCTCCCCCCTCCTCGATGGCTCTCCCTCCACCCTCTACCTCTTCCCCTCCTCCGCATCGTCCCCATCCCCCACCCTCCACATCTCCGCCGTGAGCCCCTCCGCCGACCTCGTCCTCATCGCCTTCGACGCCACATGGCAGCACGCGCGCGAGATGGTGCGGGCTAGCGAGGACTTCCTCTCCCAGTTCGCCACTAGGGTTTGTCTGGGCGTCGATGAGAGTCTTGGCGGCGGAAGCATTTACGATTCCGAGTTGATTTTGCGGAAGGAACCTTTCGCCGGGTGCGTTAGCACCATGGAGGCTGTGGCTAGGGCTTTGCGAGTGCTAGAGCCCAATGGGCCCATGATTGAAGAGAAGCTGGTTGGGGTTTTGAGGGAGATGGTGAGGTTGCAGGCTGGGTTTTTGAAGCCCGTGAAGCCCAGGCCCAAGTTGTTGAAGAAGAAAGGTGAGGGAAAGGAAAAGAGGGAGTGTTCTGATTAAGGTTAGTGAGTAATTTTTTTACTTTCTTTTGGTTTTACTTGAAATCATAGCATTTGGATTAGTGGTTTTATGTGGTGAGTAAATTTTTTGTTTTTTAGAAATAATTCTAGATGCCATTAGGTCAATTCAACTAAGCAAACTAGCTTTATTATGCTAATTGTTGTCCATATCGATGTTTGTTAAAAAGATGTAGAAGTTAACACAAGATCATGAAAAAATCATGAAGATGCGAGACTCATAAAATTTTAAGATTTTTAATATATTTCAACTAATAAAAAATAGTGTTAAAAGAGTGTATTACGGTTGTGTTGCTAATATTTCTCAAGGATGGATGCTAAATGCATTTCCAAGGCATTATTACACTGCATTACAATCTAGTTGATAGCTCTATGCATCATTATGAAGGATATAAACAATTTCCTATGGGGATTTGGCTCCTTTAAAGTGAGGAAACTGCACTTTAGAGAATTAAGTGCAATAACAGTAGTTCATTATCAACCATTGTGATTATAATTAGTTTTAGATTTTGTTAAATATTTCTTTAATATTATCTGCATGGTCTTGGATTTCAAATGATATATCTGCATGCTGAACATTTGAACTAAAGATAAGAGTGTGTGTGTACTATTTGGAAGTCACGCTATGTATTGAGAAAGTGATGGAATATGAAAAGGATAAAAAGGGGGAAATTGTGTTGATTCTATATTCATATATGAGTGCATGTTTGGTAAATTTTCATCAATATTTTGATGGGCTACATTAAACACAAGAATGGTTGTGCAAAACAGAAGCTTACAAAGGTTATAGGAAGATGTAAATTATGTTGAAGTTATATCATGTGCAAACATCAATTAGTGGATGGCCATGTTTTGCCAATATAAGCTTTTGCATTTAATGTAGAAATAGAGTAATTTTCACCCTCACCCGAAAGAGATAATATTAATAATCATGGACAGTTCCACTTCCGATACTAGCTAGTGCTGTGGATTGTACTTAAAAATGCATTAACATTTATGGCAAAATAAATCTTACTATTCATCATAAAAATAAAAAATTTACATTCCATTTTTATTGATAAGCTAACAAAATGAAGAGGAATTTGGATTGACTGTCTATGCATACTAATGTTGTAGTTTATCTCATTTTGAGGTACATGATTTGTGTTCAAGAAAAGATATGATACAGGGTTGGTGAGCATGTGGGCTTATAGGACTTAGTTATTTGACTAATATTGTGTTCCGGTCATTTATTCCTCGTACTTGCTTTCCTTCAACCCTTCATGAATGCATGGCTTCATTACAGTTCAGAATAGGAAAGGAAAAGAACAAATTTTACTGATCAAAATTAATATGAATGTGAAGCGTAGGTTAAGACGTGAGAGGGGACTGCAAACCATTTCTGACATGCAAGACTTCCTCAGGTATTGTTCTTAAATATCTGCTCATTCTAATTGTGCATTCCTTCGGTATATATTTGAAGCATTCCAAAGTTGAGGGGGTGCTGAGCAACCTTTTAACTTATGCCTTCTTGTCATATATATATATATATATAGATAGATAGATAGAGAGAGAGAGAGAGAGAGAGAGAGTGTTATATATAACTTATAATAATGTAACGTAATTGCTCTCGCAAGTTAATGTTTTTTCAAGACAGTTTAAGATGAAAGTTTTTCCTGTGAAATAAACACGAAAGGAAACAATATGTACTGTATAAGTCGAAATCAACTTAGTCCTAAAAGCTCAGATTCTCGCTACTAATTTATCACATAAGATACCAGATTCATGGTTTGTTAAAAAGGAAAAAACATGATCTGCTTCATGAAGTAGCAGGGGAATTGGTTTCTTTTGTATATAGCACCGGGTACTCCTGATGGGATGGTGAACTGTCAAAACCCATATCCAATATCTGTACCATTCATAGCAAACTGGGGCTAAAGAGATAACTGACAATTAGAAAACTAGAACAAGATGCCATAGTTGGTCGAAGAGAGATCACTGGTGTCTGCCATCATAGAAGCAACGTCACTTGTTACATTGACCAGGCAGATCAGCTGATGATTGATATTTAAAGCTCGGTTTCCATGAAAGCTCTAGAAACACCCAACAAACTACAGAAGAATTCAAATATACGCATTGGGGTCATCAGAGGATGACTGGATCTTTAGTTCCAGTGACATAACCATACTTGTCATTAGCTGCCAACCTATGGTAATAGAGTACAAATTGCCAGATCCACCCATTCCTAAAACACCTGACCCCCTCCCTTTTACTGAAAAGTGGATCATTAACAAGATCATGGATTGAGTTGGATATGGTTTGCAGAAAACCATCACTAAGTGGGTTTGAACGTGGCATAAGAAATGGATTGAGTTCGTTCACTTGAGTTTGTGTGTGGCTTAGGTTTAGGAAGTTGTGATGTGTGTGGAATGACATCTTCATTGTGGGTTTTTATAATGGTTGTAGAGCACCAGCATCATATTGCGTAATCCTAACTGGGAAGGGAGGTATATTCTAAATCAACCTTTGAAGGAAAGGAATAATGGATACTTGTGGAAAAGGAGGTGTTTGTGCTGTGAATTCATTTTCCAAGCTTTAAAAATTCATAGCTCAAAGATTTAGCAAAGTCTAGAATGTGATGAGCTTGTACACTAATTACGCTTACATTACCTTTAATTTTTAAAATTAATATTAAAAAAAGTAAAAGTAATAAATATTTATAAAATATTTAAAAATAATATTTGTTTTAATATTTAAAATAAATATTATCATCCTTATATTTTCAATATAATGATATTGGTACTTTTTATATTTTTTAAAGAGGTATATAATTTTTACTTTTTAATAAATGACATTCATCTCTTGTATTATTAACAACACACCCATCTTTCTTATTTTGTGTAAAAAATGATTTTTGTTAGTTTATAAAAAATTTCATCATTTCTTATTTAAATTTTGTTTATATGATATTTTAAATTAAATAAAAAATAAGTGATGTTTTATAAAAAAAATAATACCAATAAATGTCATTTATTAAAATTAAATAATAAAACAAATGTTTATTTAAAAACTAAAGGATTTAAAGCATCATTTTATTAAAAACAAGATCAGGAAGGGATATATTTTAAAACGGTAAATACGTGATTGTTGGTATAATATAATCTTGTTAAAGGTGAATATAATAAGTATTAATTACTTAATGAATATTACATTTTATATATGAGATTTGTATATAATTAAATAGTTTAACATCTTATTAAAAGCAATTTCAATTTATATTCATTATAATTGTTCACAAAACTAATTACAAAAAATTTAAAATTTGAATGGTGGAGATATGAAAAATTATTATTAAATGTAGTAATTCAACAGAAAGAATTTTAAAATATTAAAAAAATGTCAGTCACATTTTCAGGAGAGCAACTTTCAGATATATAATACCTATTTATGCCTATGAATTTCTAAAAGAGGTGTAATAGCAAGTAATTTTATGAAAAGAACATCTGTTCACAAAATAGCACAGATATTTATAATTAGCATTAAAAACATATTATGTAGTTTTGTACTTGTTAATGTTTGTAATTAAAGTCATTAATAAAGTGAATTATATATATATATGCAAAGTATCTAACGAGGGTCACTTTGGAAAAAATTTCTCCATGAATACAGATTAGTCTCTTTTTTTTTTGTGACTAATTTTCTTTAACGACTAACCTTGTTAATCATACTTTCTCTATTTCAAAAATTTGAATTCAAAATTTATAAAATCTGAGTGATTATCACTTGGAACAATAACATGTTTGGTAAATAAGAAAACTATTAAGTATCCCTGAAGCTAGAAAACGACCCTTGTTCTCATTCAATGATATAAGCTAGAAAACTATTAATAGCTTCTCTCACCTTAACTCGAACATATTATGTTATAGACTTAGACTTAGGAACTTGAGTTAAAGTTCAAAGTGAAAAGCAAAATGATGAACACTAAAGAAATTCTCTACAAATTAGTGTTTTGTGCTTAATATTTTTGTTTTATTGATTAATTGATATTAATGATGATTTGCATATAAATAATAATTATGTTTTTATATTTCATTTTATAAGTATACGAGGTTTTCTAAAATAAACGGTTTCAGAGATTGTAAACAAATTACTTATTATATGAATTGAGTTGAAGTTGTTTATCTTCCATTAATAATTCCCATCAGCAGTTGAGAAAAGATACCAAGTATACATACCTATAATTCTAATTTTTAACACACCTTAATTTTTACACCTCCGTTCTATCTCTTTTATTATCTATTACCTTTTTTTTCATCTCTTTTTTCCCTTAAAAGGTTTTGTAGTGTATCACTTGATATTGTAGATGAGAAGTTTTAGGAACACTCTATTATCAGTTAAATTTTATGAAAAGAATTTCATAATTATGAATTCTGTAATTAATTTCCAATAAATTTCTACAAATAACAAAGATGTGTTACAAAGAGCTTGTTCCAATATTTTTCTATGCATGTAGCTAAAGAACAACTTATATAGAATACTAAACTGTTTCTGTTATTTTCTAACCCAAACTAACATTTTACTCTGCTTGTTGTCAATTAGTGTTATTTAGTGCCTACGCATGTTCCTGCTTTCACACTGAAGACAAACTTTGATGTGAATCATACCAAACCAGTTGAAGTTGCTCTTGATCTCTACCATGCATATTACCAATGTGCAGCCATAGAAAATTCTTGATTGTCATCATCACAACGACAAAAGCATCCGCAGTGAAGGAATATATTCCCTCTCCCCCCAAGCCCAAGTGCAATGTTAATGTCAAAGTGGCATCAAGCAGAGAGTAGTTATGGCCAGGCTTCAACAAAATGATTATGCAAAGTAAATCAATGGTGAGAAAAGCACATGTAACCCATGCAGCTAAGTCAGAAGACCCATCTTGGTGCTTCTGTTCAATTCCCGAAATCAGAAGGGACATGACCCGCATAACTATGAATTCTCCTATAGATT